ACGAATTTTTTCTTCGGTTACTGCATCACTAAAAAAAAGAAAAAACACAATAAATGTATTAAAGATAGATGTAGATGAGAATTTGTGTTTTACTTTGAATTTGATGATGTTGATACACCGGCAGATGTTGAAGAAGCACTGGCATTAGATGTCGACGAAGATGTAGTCGTTGTCTTCTTATTTGTTTTATTATCATCTTGAACTGTTGTTCTATTTTGAACAACTAAGATTATAATGACGAGTTAAAAATAGTGAGAAAATAAGAAAGTAAATATTAGAATACAAACTTTCTTTTGCTTTTTCGAGTGCTGATGGTTGACCAATTTTATGCTAAAAAAGATCAATAAAGTTTTAACTAATATAGATAGATGAACAAACGTTCATGATGATTATAGTGTTTTTTTTACAACTTAGAAAAATTTTTAATTTTTCATCTTCGAGAAATACTAGAATAATGAGCGAAATCGCTCAACAAACATTCTAACGTGCCAAAGCATGTACTATAGATAAGCTAACAAAACATACGGATATCTCTTCTGGTACAATCAGTTCTTTGTCTGGATCATCTGAATCGTCGAGATCATCATCGTCAGTACTTGATTCATCAGCTAAAACAGTACAAAAAAAAGTTAATTATTAACTTGATGAAACTTAATCTTGCTCAAAGTCTTTGTCTTTCAACACTTTTCAAATTTTTACCTTTATTCAATGTATCTTTTTCTAGTAGTTTTCTCATTTCTTTTCCAACTTCTGATAAATCTTTACCGATCACATTTGCCCCTGGATCATCATCTTCTTCTTCCTCTTCATTGTCACTATCTTCCAAATCAATTTCTTCATCATTTTCGAGTTTTTCAAGTTTTTTATCAATATCTGTTACGACTTTTATTTGTTCATCAATCCCTAAAACACGAGTTTAATTATGGTAGTTTAAATCATTTTAGAAAACATGAGATATACCTTTCTCTTCATATTTCTCAGTTGACTTCAGTGTATTTGCATCCTTGATGTCATCTTCCTCCTCTGATGTTTCATCACTTGTATAATCTAATTCATCACCTGAAATAAAAACAACACAAAGCTGAAATCAAAGCTTGAGAAAAAACAAGACTTATATTCTACCTTCATGATCCCCATCATCAGAATCTTCTCCGGCCTCATTGTCATCATCTTCGGTTTTGATTTTTTTTCTCCCTTTTGGTTTCTTTTTCCCCGCATTATTTGTTTCCATTGCATTGTCATCATCATCGCTCAAATTGATTCCACCTGTCGTCTTATTATTTCCTGCTGTTTTATTTTTTGTTTTACCTTGACGATCACCATTATCTTCGTCTTCGTCACCAAAATCTTCATCTAGAATTATGATGGAAATATACAGATTATCAAGATTTAGCAAACAGAATGCATTTGTTAGACATTTTTTTGCGGCAACTTGAATCGAGGGTATAAAAAAACTTCAGATTTAACTCACCATCATCTTCTTCTTCATCAACATAATCTTCTTTATTTAATAATTTAAACTCATTTTTCTTTCCATTTTGTTTTCCCGATTTCTTTTGTCCTTCTCCATCCTCTTCTTCTTCTGCTTCCTTTGCTTCATCTTTCTTCGATTGATGTTTTAGAAACCATTTTGATAAATTTCTATGTCTATTTTCAAATTCCATTTCAGCTTGATCAAAATCCAATGTTTTATAAACGTTTGTTGGTGTAAATGAATACCAATCCTCAACGGGATATGCTTCAAAACCTTCATTGCCTTTTATAAACACATAATACGATGAATTCGTTGCTACGCCACCTTTTTTCAAACCGCGATACTGTTTTACCTTTTTATCTTGACTATTTTTTTCACTCAATAACCACGGTAAATCTTCAATATTTGTCCCTTTTGTACTATAACGTTTTCGTTTTAATCGTTCACGTTGTTCTTTACCATATTCACTACCAGCACCGAATTTGGGCGTTGTTGTTGGTGCATCAAGATCAGTAGGTGGACGATAATTAAATGAATTTATTTCACGCCTCATTTCAGCAGATTTCCATTCAGTTAAATCGATTGATAAACCACTGGCAAATTCCATAATTCCATATCGACCATTTGATCTAAAGATAGAGCGACAAAAAGTAGACCTCAATTCTTTCATCCGAAAAAAAAGATTTTACTGGACTAGAACTGTCTAGTTAGTGTCTGTAAAAATGGACATTAATCGCTCAATAAGTTCTATGCAGACACTTTCGAATATGTTCTTTCTCATTTGAAAGAATTAATCGTCTTACTTTTGAACTTTAACTGGAACTTCTTTCGTTCCAGGTGCGGGTGGTGTTGGATTTATTTGTGGTATCACATTTGTGGGTATGGAAGTTGTTGGAGGCGTCACTATTCTAGTTATTGATGTCGTTAGTGGAGGTGATGTAACATGCTGCTGTTGTTGTTGTTGTTGTTGCTGTTGGATATTTTGAGAAACAGTTAGACGAGGTGATGTTAGAGATGTACTAAACTGGACAGTTGGCGACGTGATTATACGAGGCTGCTGGACTATTGGTGATATTATTAATCGAGTTTGTTGAACTTGTGGTGGTGAAATCAAACGTGGCTGTACTTGATAAATAAGAGGAGTTTGAGACAATTGTTGCTGCGGTTGTTGGGGTAAAGTTTGTGTACGAACTGTGGAAATTTGATAAACTGGTTGTGGATATTGTTGTTGTTGTTGTTGTTGTTGTTGTAACTGAGTTGGCCGAATATTTAATTGAGTAATGTTTGTTGGTTGCACAACAAATACCGGTCTATTTATATTATTATTCATCTAGAAGATAAACATACACACGTTCAACATTTATGGCGTTCATATATTAGATATATACAGGAATCATGATTATTTTGTAATCAATAGAAACTACCATTTAGCGAAAAGCGATAAAAAATATTTTACAGAAAGTGATCAGCAAGGAAAGAAAAAATGCGTTTTTTTAAACTTTCTCTAGATTCTGTCTGGGTCAGTAGTGCAATCAGGATTTTTGGACGCTCTGACAACTTAAAAATTTTCTACTGGAGCAAAAGAAAGATGTAAGCATAAGCACAAATGAACAGAACATTTTTCAATGTTGCAAAGTAAAAAATTCAGAAAAGGCTATGACCCGTTTTTTAATACAAGTCCATCTCGATTTTATTATTCTCGGCGCAATTCTCAATAAAAGATGTTTCCTAGGAAATATTCTACTTGTAACATGTTATACACAAAATAACAAACAAAAAAAGAAAGTGAAACAATTAATCTGAGATATATCTTGTTTTTGTCTGTGTGGAATTATTAAATGTAAACAGTTTCAGTGAATTATCTGCTCCTCCACTAATAATTAACGATGGTATTGTCCAATCCACACATAAAACTCGATTATCATGTCCTTGTAAATCGTATAGAGGCGCTTTCGAACAACGAATATCCCACAGTTTAACAAAGGAATCATAAGATCCACTAACAAATACATATTCATTTGTTTTTGACCACGATAAACTCGGCACCCATTGTGTATGGGATGTAAATGTTGAACGAACAACAAATCCTTCGGATACTCGTGGATCATACAAACGAATGAATCTATCGCAAAACCCAGCTACAATTAAATGATTTAACTGTGAATAATCACAATGGATAACAGCCTTTGTTGATTTAAATGTTTGTGCCTCTTTTAATGTATCCATATTCCATAATTTAATCGAATGATCCCACGAACCAGAAACGATTTCATTTGTATTTAGCCATTTGACACATGAGACATTTTCTGTATGAGCATTTATTGTTATACGAGCATCAAGACTTTTATCGTTCAAATTCTCCGACTAAAATAGAAAAACGTAAAATAGTGCCAATACGTACCAAAAACATTTTTAGGCATTGTTCGTGTAATGCATACCTTATCAGGTGAAGATGAGCCACTTTCAATTCCCCACAGTTTAATTGTTTTATCCCACGAACCAGAAACGAATTTTGTTTTTGTTGGATCAACAGAGATTGTTTCAACGCTTCCATTATGTCCTTTATATGTTTTTAATTCTTCTACAGTATTTGTATTTTGATTATATAACCATCTTATTATCGCTTCGTCATGTGATGAACTTAGAAAACAATGTTGATTATTTTCATCTGAACTAATCCAACGAACACATCGTACAGGACCATTATGACCGGGTAATGTTGACAAATGTTCACCTTCTGTATTCCATAAATGAACGGTATTATCATAACATCCCACAAGTAAAATATCACCATAACCTTCACATGCACTA